TGACTGTTGTTTCCAGTCTATATTTTTTTTAAATGCAAGTACTTTCGAATAATCCCTTATTCATCGTATATGCGCTTGTGTATTGGTTACAACATTTAAATTTTCTTGGTCTGTTTCGTGGATGGAATAATTATGTATTTACAACTGCTGCATGAGGTTCTGGTTCGAGCCAGGTGAAACTTGTGTTTTGAATATTGGTTTTATATTCAGGGCGAATTTGGGCCAGGTGAATATTTGACTGAATATGTTGGAATAGAATCAGTCGAAACAGAAATCGGGATTATTTGGTAAGACATTATAGGGAGGAAAATACAGAAAAATTCTTCACGAGTTTATTTTGTGCTATTGTCTCAACATTAGAATACAATACATTCAATATTGTATCACAAATTTCAAAAAGCAAAAATGTCTAGCCCATAAAAAATGCTGTAATAAAATCTCAACTGTTGAATTAAACTATTTCTCAACCATTTACGTCATTGGCAAAGGCTTTGTTCAAAGTTTTTAAGTACGTTTCTACGTTAGTTTATGATAGCCAACTTTTCTTCGTCTCAGTTTTGTCAATAGAGTTATCCGGCTGATTCCGACGTTTATTGATTACTCAGTTCTGGTATTCCTAACTGTTCGACTAGTCATGCTTGCAAATGTATCCATTTCCCTGGAGAGAGCTATTACGTAGCAAGCCGTGCCTAGCAACGACTTCTCGATGACGGCTTGTATATCAATATTTTCTACTAAAAAGATCAAGGAGACAAATATAACGAAATTACACAGTTTTTTTGTTTTATATATATATATATATATATATATATATATATATTTGAGCGGGGACAGGTAACGTTTTTGTAGTTTGGGAACAGTGATCAGTATCTAAGACATATGTTCTCCAACGATATAAAATCTTTAGAAATAAAGATAAAATAGATGTGATCCTCTAAAAATAATAACTGGATTTTATTTCTGCTAGGAAAATACATTTAAGCATACCAATTGTTTTTCGTCTGTAGCGTTTTAGTACAAATTAATGTTGTGTAGTCAATTAATATAGTCAAACTTATTCTCAAGCAGATAACATGCAATTTTATTTTATTAACCGGTTTGTTTGTTACAGAGCAAAGGAATCAGCCTTTAAACGATTTATCATTCTCTTGATATAAATAAAGCAACAGTTGGTAAAAACCAGAATTGAACACAGGTTCCATGGAATTGTATATTTTTAGACTATTTGCCAAGTTATTTTTTATACTAAATTTCATCCAATAGAAAGCTTGAGGGCACTCAATGTAGAGGGTTACAGTCGAAATGTTAAATGAGTTGTGTGATATGAGCGTAAGAGGAGGTAGACGGAAGTGAAGATAAGGAGGATAGATACCGATTGACTCTTGACTTGAAGAGGTTAAGGTTATAGTGTTCAGGGAAGCAACCATGCGGGAGTCTATCCCACAAATTATCACTTCTTGGGAAAAAAGCTGTCTGAGTGTACCTTCCTTCTTACATTTGGAATACGGAGGAAATAAGAGTGATTCGACTCGATGGGAGTAACATGGCGTATCCTGACTGTAAAGGTGTAAACTGGTTAACCTAAAGAGATGACTTTACCTGAATATTTGTCTTGGAATAACGATAAAGTATCGATAAATTTGCAGCGTTTCTTTTGTGAGAAAGAGACTTCTGAGTAGATAATAAATCTTTTCTCACAAGACCGAGTAAAAAATTTACTACATTAGTGATACGCAGGTGATTGGTCTGTAATTGTTCGCTTGGGTCCTTTCTCGGTTTGTTTTAGGACCAAAACTGAATACCAAGAAAATTTAGTTTTAAAAATACGTATTTACTTACTACACAATTTGTATGAAATATATTAATTTAGATATTAGAATTTTATTGTTATATTATGTTATTGGAATGTTAGGTAGAGATAAATTCTACCTTACCATCTCAATATGGCACTGCTGTACACGCGATATAGTAAAAAGACGACTTAGATTTCTCGCTTCTCGCCGGAATTTCACGTGATGTCTTTCTTACATTTTGACATGCGCATAAATTATCACCTAGTCAAGGGGAAATTATTTGTTTTGTAACGCTAGAAAGTAAATCAGCTAATTCAACAAAACTTATTTTATCAAAATAATGTGTTTAATTATGACTAATTTTTATGAAGATAATTGAAAATAATACTTATTTTATCTTTAAAAATTGCAAATTTTAAATTAAACCGCAATTTGTTTTATTTTATGACATTTTTCTTCTGCGTTGATAGAAATTATGATGTTTTTGTCATTACTTTATTTTTACTTCATTGCTAGGTCAATCGCTAAGAAGGTTGGTTCACTATGTCGTGCTAGACATTTTTCTCTCCAGGACCACCTATCCTGCTAACATTTGTGCTTGATTTGAATATTGCTGCCACATATGGTCTGGTGATCTTGCTATTTATCTTCAGCTCCTTGATAAATTCCAAAGGAGAATCAGCAATATTATTGGTCCTGATCTGGCGGCTCGGCTTCAGTCGTTTTCCCACCTCCGTAAAGTTGCTTCCCTGTACCCTTTCGATAAATAATTTCATGGTAATTGTTCGGATAAACTCTTTGTTATGGTTCCTAAACTTTATGAATTTAAGCTCAGTACTAAATTAGTAACAAGGTATCATCAATTTACAATTGAATTGGTTAAATGCAACCGCAAGTTCTGTTAACAGTTTCTTATCTCGCACTTCTTGGTTGCGATTCTCTCTCTCTCTCGGTTTTTTGCTTTCCAGTCAAGATTGAGATCAAAAATTTAAATGCAATATCGTTATCTCCTGTCTTCTTGATTACACTTCTATTGTTCGCACTCCTCAATAATTTTTCTGTTTTCTAATTATTTCACATCCAGTAACTCTTTGTATTTTATTGGCTTTACTGCTTTGTTTGGAGTGAATTCAATTTAAAAGAAATATCTACTACATCAAGAATTAGCCATGCGTGGAGATAACGAAGAGAGATAAAATCTTTGTAAGCTCCTAAACTGGCGATTGAGACCATTAATCGAACAAAGAATTGGTTGTCTGAGAAAGCAGATGAATTTACGTTTGGTGAAATTCAAAATGAAAAAATGTTAACACAAATGTCACAGCAAGTTATTTGTAACCGATTGAATGCAGTAAAATATAACTTTTATTCCATAATACGGATTATTTCTAATACTGAACAATTGACTTACTGTATAGGCTGCATAAATTATGATCTTGAAGTATTTGAGAAAACACCTCGCTTTTTATGAAACAAGAATTTGAAACACGTCAGCGTGTTGAAATCCTGCCAGTATTTAGTATTGCTGAAGTTATCAATATCTTTGTCGAGATTTACAAACTCTACATTTCGTTCAATTTCGCAAACCACTCGAGGAAATCTGAATAATTGATATGTTTAGAAAATACTTTGACAAAAACCCTACTTCGCGATTTAATAATTTAATTTTATAGGACAATAATTTTTAAGAATTATTCTTCATTTTTTCTTTTTAACAGCGAAGAATAAATTTCTAGGATTTCTTACTCTTGAGCATGCAACATGAGTGAATATTTCTTTCTGGAGCGAATTCTAACTTTTTAGTGTTCGGCCTTGTGATTTGTTTATAGTTCTCGGAAATGTAGGGCGGACTGGAAACTGGATTCTTGTATATAAAAATTACAGAAAAGATATTCAAAAAACAATATTGCATTTTTATTAAATATGTATTTGTTATTTTAATCATTAAATTGATTTTAAGATAGTAGGAGTATTTCTTTCAAAAAATTAATGAAAATTTATTGTACTAAGCTATGCACTCTAGTAAAACCAATTGTACTTTGTAGCCTCTTACCTGCTTCGATCGGTCAATGTAGGGTTATTTTAGAGGGTGTGACGAACAGAAGGGCTAATGCAAGTCATGGAATTTGATATATAGACTCCAAACATCATCAGTAACGTTCTTATAGCTGCTCTTAAAGATATAATGACGAGACATCAATACTGACAGGAAGGACATGTGCTGAGGTCAGTGTTACGGCGGTGCCACCAACAGGCAAGCAAAATCTAATGTTGCAGCGCAGATCTTAAATATTCAACCCAGAGTACATTACTCACTGTCTTTCACACTGTCATTGTCAGAGACGTAAGCAAATGAAAAAAAATCAAAATATTAAGGAATAATATGGGATATGCTGAAGAGGTTAACATTTTGGTTAAATATTCTCCTAGGAGGGGAACATTTTTTAGGCAGTCGAAGAAGACAGATAGATTGTCAGAATGGCGACATTTATCAAGCTAACAGCATTTTAAAGCTTTCAGAAACGCAATGAACAGCTTGTTTTAAAAGATGGACAACTATGGTAGTTATTGAATGTGAACAGTTTATTCGTAATGCTCAACTGAAAAAAACGGATAATTGGTCGAAAAAAGCAGATGGAATCGTTTGATTTATTTTGGGGGTTAATATTTTCCATTGAATTTAATCTATTTTAAAACAAATGTGGACATGCGGTAGTAAGAGACTTATAGAATTGATATTGAATATCATTTAGAAGAATATTTTCTTTCGTTATACGACGCTATCATAAAGAAGACCAAAATTTATTAAAGAGTCGGTGTAGCCAAGAAAAAGTTAAGCACGTAATTATTTTATTTTACATTTTGTAGATGGAAAAAAAATAACTATCCTGAAGCATTTCGTGATCAATACCGAGTTGCATATTATGATGTATTAGATTCAATAGTATCTTCATTGAAAGCTCATTTCACTCAATCTGGTTTTGAAACACGAAAAGATGGAATCTTTACTTTTGGTATTCCTTAATCGTCAAGATACTAGCGATGATGTTATGTATTTGAAAGAGAATGATAATGGCGGAAGTGATTCAGAGCAACCCCCTAGTGAAGTGGCTGTACCTTGCGTAAGAAAAAAAAAACAACAGTCAACTAGTATCTTATCTGCTTCTTCAGCTTGCTTTTATCCCAAACACTCGAATCATATACGGCTTACGGCCACATCATGTTGAAACATTGGTTCCTACCGTACGATCACCGAAGGTAAGCACCATCGGGCCTGGTCAGTACGTCGATGGGTAACCGCTTGGGAATACCAGGTGTTGTAAGCTTATATGTGCGGGTGGTGTGATGGATAATGGCTCAGAATTGTTAATCGGAGAGCTGAGTTCCAATTCCACTTTGGGTCATTATATACGCAATAATAATAATGCGCGTAAATACCCTTAAGAAGGGTATGAATACACCTCTTCTTCCTCTTGATATGGGTTAATTAGTAACATCTATATCACCAATAATTATTATCCCCTTCCACTCCAGAGAATTGCAATCTAAAAATATTTTTTGGTTTTAGATAACTTTCAAAAGATTAATAAGCCGTAGAAAACGAATTAATCAATTAATGAAATACACCCAAGGAGGGGGTGGGGCGGTGAAATGTTTTTGATAAGACTAAGTAGTTTTCCCAACCCACAAAAATATTGATTTTTGGTTAAATTTTCGAACGTACGCATGGCTGAGAACTTTTCAGCACTGCTTCATTTGTTTGTAAACGAGATGTGTCCAATAACTTTTCAACGATTTTGAATTTCATTAAACCAGTTAAGTTGTCTTGATTAAATTTGGTAAAAAAAATAAGCCACCTTATTGTACGGGTGGTGCAATAATAGCTAGGAATTGTTAATCGGAGAGCCGAGTTCCAATTCCAGTTTGGTTCATTATATTCACATACGCGCTAATATCACTGGGAAATGTAGGAATTCCCTTCTTCCCCCAGATATAGATTAAATAGGAAGACTTGTAACAATAAACCATTATTATCTCAAAAAAGTCATTACAATCTAAAAATATTTTCTGGTTTTAAATAACTACAAACAACAAGTACTCGCAACTACAGCAGGATGATCTTTTCTCTCTGCATCAAGGAGAATAAAATATGATGGAATATCAAAGAGGCTCCCTGTATGTTCAAAAGTATTTGCCATTTAGCAAGAATTTACAGATGAATTGTGTTTGCCAAACGCAACAAATTCAATTTTTGCTAAATGTTTTTTATAGATATTTAATTTGGGGTGTCTTCTTGGAATATAAAAACATTAAATGTTATGAAAAATATGCCATTGTTGTTTAAAGCTAGGTTTCTTCAATATTCGCATTTCTATGCATTTCTTTGATCAACGAGCGGGAAGCTTGTTATATTAAACAAATAATAATCTAATTATAAACTATAAGTAACATTTCTATACTTGATGATGAATGATTGAAATTATATAGAAAGAGTATTTTGAAAATAAAACTTGTAAAAATATTTAAAATTTTCTTTTCAAATATTTTTTCAATAAAACTTTCTAATAAAATTTTATAAAAATTGTATTATACGCCAGCAACACTCCAAAAAGTTGGTCGTAGAAATTGGCCTAATTCCGAAAATTAATGCAATAAACCAAAATATTTTTTATTTTCAATTTCTTATATAAATATATTGTTGGCTGGCGATTGCATCTAGCATGAAACAGTCTGTCGCCGCTAAGTATTGACTTCTATGTTCACTTTTATATTTACACACACTCTATCTTTGATATTGAGCACTTTATCCCATATATATATATATATATATATATATATATATATATATATATATATATATATATATAAGTATATATAATGTATTTTTATTTATTAATCTGACGGATTTTATCACTTAAACATTATTTTTAAAGGATACTCAAAACGGAGTATCTACTCAAATATAGGTATCCACGAAAATAATGTTAAAGTAATAATATATATATATATATATATATATATATATATAGCAGAATGTCATCATCAGGGTTTTGTTTATCCAAGCCAAAAAGTCTTGTGTTCATTATTTTTCTAAGACAAAATTGTTGTCGTCATCTGAAAATTAAATTTTTACTTGTGATGAACAACAGATATATATATATATATATATATATATATATATATATATATATATATATATATATATATATATGATAAAAAATATAGTTTAAGTATGCTATATTTGCATTAAAGCGTATGGAAATATAAAATTGAACATTATGGTATGTTTTATGCTTAACCGCAATTGTCAGACATGACGATTGCGTTTAAGAAGACTTTCACCTCTGGGTGTTGACCTTACTGTCCAATATATATATATATATATATATATATATATATATATATATATATATATATATATATATATATATATATACAGAAAAATCAATATTTGAAGGCATTAATTTTCTTTATCAAAAGAAAAATATAAATCAATGAAACATTTTTAAAAGTAAAACAATGTTTATACAGTTGAAAATTTTTTACAATAAACTGTACATGTTTTTAATTTGAAATTTTTATAATTCCGGGGTGTAAGATCTTCAACCAATCTATTTTCATTTTGTTTGTAAAGCTAACTTACCGCCCACAAATATTCGAATGTTTATTTTAATAGCATATTATTAGTTTTCACCTCAAATTTAAAATGCACTAAAAGCTTTCATTTTGGCATACCATATTCCATTCCATAAATTATTTTCATATGTAACGTCTATTTCAAGCATTTATGTTTGTTAAAAATGTTTCTTTGTTTTTGAACGTTTCACGTGTAACGAGTAATTATTTTGTGTGTACCTCCTAAGTTTCATTTCATTTTTTTTTTAACGCCAACTTACATCAGGACTTAAACAACACTCATTGCGCTCCTCAGATTTTGTTTCCATAAACCCTGGCTGTAGAGTGGTTTCCAGTTGCCTTCTCTGCACTTTTGGAATCCAGGGTTTTCCTTTTCTTAGACAGACTGTCACCCAAGGCTAGAGCTACTAGTACACCCTGCTATTTAACCCCTGTCAAGGGAAAAGAAGAAGTGATACGATTCATGCCTTTCTCGAGGGTATTTGTGTGAAAGTGATCGCAACAGACTAGCCTGGGATTTGAACTCGATTCCCAGATTCCTTTTTCTGCACCGAAAACCGGTTACTACCTAAACATCTAAAATACACTAAACTGAATAATTATGTTGTTATAATTTACTAAGCATAATTGGACACATGCTAAAAGTGTGAGAAACCCATTGAACATCGAACTTAATACACGCGGTATACTGGACTTGTCGGCTGATCATTACTCCACCCCGAGGAACTGTAACCAGTTTATTTTTTGACTTTCTTAACCAGTCTAGTTTGGGATATTTCCATTGAAGAGAGTTACTTTTTTAATTGAAAGTTCATTATATTCACAAAATATATTTCATATTTAAAAAAAAACACCCAAGGAAGTGGTTCTGAAATATTTTTGATGAGACCAAGAAGCTCTTTACACTGATTTTTGGTTATTTGGTCAAATGATAGAACATGGACATGGCCGTGAACATTTCAGCACTCCTTCGTCTGTATGTAAATGAAGTCAGCTCAGTAAGCGTCCAATCATTTTGAATATTGGAAAACCAGTTGGATAGCCTTGCTGAAACTTGGTAAACAATCGGAAGGCTCCTTATTGTGTGGGTGGTGCAATGGATAATGGCTCGGAATTGTTAACCGGAGAGCCGAGTTCCAATTCCAGTCGGTTTCGTTATATTTACTTACGCGCAAATACCCTTAAGAAATGTACGAATCAACCCCACCTCTCGCAAGGTATAGGTTAATTAGTAAGATTTGTATCAGATAATCATTATTATCTCTAAAAACCTTTTTACAATCTAAAAGTTTATAAGCCGTAAAATAAACCAATCAATCAATAAGCCAATCAATCAATAAGCCAATTTGAATCATTCTAAAATGATCATATATCAAAACCTTGCTCGACAGAATTTCATTAAAACTATTGAACAAAAATATTCACCTTAGTAGTTTTTCATATGCTTTCTGCAAAATTAAAAATGAAGAAATTTGTGGTTTATGCTTAGTTCTTTGATAACTTGAATGTCTAAAATTTAGTTTGTCTTAAATTTCTATCAAACACTGATCCTGGTTCAGTAAAATAGATCAATGGAAAATATAATTGATATACACTCAAAGGACGATGCAAATTTGACCTGGGTACTCACTATGTGCATGCTAACAAGTAAAAGATATTCTGATAAAATTTATAAAGTCTTCGGCAAACATGTGATATAGTAACACTCATACCAGTATATCGTCTGTATCTAAGCATTTGATACTGACTCGTGCAGTCTTAAGCGTTAGCATAGTCAATGACTTCAACTGTCTTCTTCAGGTGACTGACGATAACCTTCAGGGAATTTCTAACTGAACCCTTTATTCAATATATTTGGGTACATTGTTTATGTCCAGAGATATCTCGTCTTGTTCTTATTTAATAATGCTTGGTTATTGTTCACCCTGTTTCTACTGTGTCTAAGTCGCTTCTCTCATTGATTCGTGAATTTCCTGACACTGTAAACGTGAGTTCAATCCCTGGGCCGGATAGTACAGACTTAAACAATCTTAGTCAGTCAGTTATGTGCCATGCGTAATACGCGATCATGTATCTTTCGATACATGACTTACAAGGCAGATTTTTTTTCCTGCAGTAGGTTGCCATTTCTTTCTGCGGTAGACCAGTTGCCATCCAGGGCTATAGAACCCGGTCTGTCCTGTTATTTGCCCATAACTGGGGGGAGAAGAAGAGTATTAGCACGTAAGTGAATGTAATGGATTCGACTGGAATTCGAACTCAGCTATCCGATTCCTCAATACGAGCCGATATCCATTACTCCACCGACTTAGTACTGACACTTAAAACAATCTTAGTACAGACAGCTGAAGAAAGCCGGAGAATATAACGACCGAATCGCTGTGATAATGATAATAACAATGATGAGGGCATTAATCTGAATGTAAATAAAATAAGTAAAAGAAACAATCGTTCTCCTAATTATTAGTGCTTTTGGAACAGCTCTTAAAATCCGGAAAAAAGTAGAAAAGATCCATGGAAGCACTGAGATAATTCTACTTCGTTGAAGTCTCGATGAATTTAGCGAGAGGAAATTGAGAGAATTGAGCAAATTTACAGTCAGATGATTCCTCCCGATAATGGGCAGGTTTGGATAGGTAAGAGATAATGACAGGATAACCAAAATAAGAGGAAGAAAGCAACTGAAA